ATATATATACGAATTCGTAGTCGACAGTCTGACGTGAAAGAATGATAGATCGAACCGTAACGAAAATGACGATTCCATGTTTGGAACATTTTAACAGATATCACTCGCTTTCATAATGTTCGGTCGAGTCTTTCTTTTCTTTTTTTTTTTTTTTAATTGATCAATTAGCCAATTCGTAAATATTCGTGAAAATCTGTTACGGGAAAAAAAGGAAAATCGTGTACGTGAATTATTATCCAAGAATAGAATATTAATAATTTATGTCGCAATTTTATTCGATTAATTGCACTATTGGGGGGATTCGAACGTGCGAAACGAAAACCGCGGTCAAAAAGCCAAAAAAAGGAGGGGAAGAGCGAAGAGCTTTTTCTATGCCACGAGACAGAGAGACGCCAAGACGTCCCACTTCCAAGCAAAGGAGTTAGAGAAATCGTGGGTTTCTAACTTTTTCCCCCTCGCTATTTCGCTTTCTTTAATTCCCATCCCGCTCCCATCTGTCCACTTTCCCCCTCCCCGATTAACTATTTGCTCTCCTCATATTTCTTGTTTAATCTCTCCCAACGAAGGGGACAATCGTACTTGGCCAAACCTACTTGTTAACAATTCGAGATTACATTGGAAACAATTTACTCGGTATACACTTTTATATCGCTTTATTTTTATAAGAAAATTTCTCTGGTATCTTTCGAGAATTTACAAAAATCGTGTAAATCGGGAGAAGAAAAAAGAAAGAAGGGCAGTGAAGAAGATTTTTTTACGGAAAAAAGCGTATCGGCATGTAGGTGTTGAAATGTTTTACGTAAACGATCGTGGAACTTTTACATATCGTGAATCAAATTGTAATAAGCTTCCCACTAATGATAAATGAAATCGGATATTGAAAAGCTTTGAGAAATTCGATGCCAAAATGAAAAAAAGATACGCGGAACGATCGGAAGAATAAAGAAAATATCGATGTTTGAGGGGAAAAAAATTTCCATTGCGATTCGAATTTTAATATTTCGATGGATTTAACGAATGATTAAAAAAAAAATTGACTGCTAAACGAAACGTCATATTTTTTTTTTTGTTTTTTCTAGGAATAGAGAAAACTACATTTTTCATAATCAGAAATTTCACATTTACGAACGTTTATAGATGGAACGTATATTTTCTTTCTGAGACAACCAACTTTTTCGCAATATTAATTCTTATAATATTCATTCTTCGAACGAACATTGATTTCTAATAAATCGTGGATTATAATCGTCGACGAATTCGTTCGTCGTTTTCCTTAAGCAAACGGCGAATGAAAAAAAAAAGAAAAAAAAATGGCAATTTTAAATACCATCGCATTTTTTGTAAGAGAGAGAGAGAGAGAGAAGGGAGCGACAATCGTATCGTGAAATATACACGAAAAACCTGTTACTTCGATATTTCGTTCTTCCTTGTGAATCGTATGTTACCATTATCGGTTTTTTTTTTTTCTAATTTTTTTTATCTTTTTAATCGAAATTAAATTCAACAAAATCCTTAAATTGATGACAATTACACGACAAATTAATCTACATTTATCGAGTAATAAGATCGTTCATTATGGAGAATACTCCTCTTCTGACGCAACGATAACACGTTTCTTTAAATGAAGAAATATAAACGAGGATGTAAATGTTGATAACACGCGTTTACATGGAAATATTGTGATATATACGAGTTCGTAGAGAACATATACACGCATCTCGAAGATTAAAGGCAGTGTTTTTCAATTAAAAATCCGTTTTCTTCGTTTTAACGTACCATTCGTACATGTTTCGTCAAAGTGGAAATACTTTCGAAATCATTTAACGTGTTGAAGTGGAAAGGTATGATCCACGGATTATATTCAAATTTTCATTGAATTTAACAAGATTCTATGCCTTTCTACGCGGAATTTCCTTGAAATTCGAAGAAACATGATTATTAAAAAAAAATTAGTTAAAAATTTCTTAAAGTGTTTCTTTAAGAGGAAAGAAAGAAAAAAGGAAGTCAGTTAAATTACGTAAATTACACGCTTTTTCAAGTCGTATCATATCAATTGTCGATCAATTTGCATAATTTCTGCAATTGCGATGGCCACCAATTAGCTAAAATTAACCATGTGCAACATTATCGCGTCACCACCTACTATCTATACTCCATTCAGTGGTTCCTTTGATAAATTTCAAATTAATAGACGAATGTTTGTCCAACGGTGTTTGCAAAATAACGTGCTTTTTTTGGAACAATTTCACGAATTCAAAAAATTCACTGTGAACTGTAAAACAAAAAAAAAAAAAAGAAGAAGAAACAATATTTCCCTCTTACTCGGATTATTATTATAATTTAACCATTTAAATTATTGTATCCACGATACACGTTGTAAACATAATATAAGGTATCCAAAAAAAAAAAAACTCGAAGATATATATATATATATATTTCTTTGTTGAGAGAACAAGTTCAATCGTTTCAGAAACATTAAAATGCAAAGCGGATAGATAAGCATAACTTGGTTTTAGTTTATAAGATATCGGTTTACATCTTGATTGTATGCAAAATTGTTCGACAAAACACCCGGAAGATACAATTTATCTGTGCGTATCAACCCCTGTGAAACATCTATTTGTACGACGAGTATATAAGAGTTTAATCGATAAACCGGATCCACCAATTTACATTCTTTTTACAAATTCTTGGGTGGGACGTTTGCCATACATAAGCGTTCGGGAAAATCTAAATCGAATCGCGGGAACACATATCCTCCCAGGAAGTGCTATATACGCGAATTGGAAATTGGTTAATTGACCCCGATTAGAAAGGAATCAGAGGTAAATTATGTGGAACCGCGAGTGATTATGATTATTAGTATTAAACTCGATAAAATTTACGATATTTCGTAAGTAAGTAACAAAAAGATCATTCGAAAAATTCGTATCGTAATTTTTTTTTAACGTCGAATCGATCTATTTTCAAACTACATTCGCAAAGTTTATATTTCAAGGGAATGAAATCATAAATTTACGATATTGAAAGTAAATCAAGAAAAATCATACAAAAGAAAAATTCGTACAATTTTTTTTAACGTCGAATCGATCTATTTTCAAATTATATTCGGATAAATGCAAAGTTTATATTTCAAGAATAAAATCACGAAAGCATAAATTTACGATGTTGAAAGTAAGTCAACAAAAATCATTCGAAAAATTCGTACAATTTTTTTTAACATCGAATCGATCTATTTTATTCTCAGACTGGATCTTTTTATTAATATTTCAAGGATGAAATCATAAAAGCATGAAATCACGATGTTTTTGTTTTTTGGAAGATCGATTCTAAAAAAAAAAAAGAAGTATAAAAAATATTCATTATTTATTAGATTATAAGAAATTGTAGTTTAGAGTGAGATGCAAACTTGAATTGTTTATAACTTAATATATAGATGATCTACATTTTTGTACAGCAACTTTTGTCTTAACCTCTAATAATCAATTTCCCGAAAATATTCCACGAATATTAATATCAATATTCCGTATTGATGCGATACGTTTTCTATTAAAATCAACGAGAAACTTGATTTCACACAAACGCATTTCCTTTGTACATCTTTTAATCCCTAAGTAAATGAACGTTCGTAGGAAAAAATTTACCACTTATTATTTTGAAACTTGTTTTGAAAAATCTGTTCGATATTTTCCATCCGACAATATTATTAAGCGGTGTGCTCGAAACATTCGTTGGCAAAAATAACGAGAGCCAGATGTCGAAAAGAAGAAATTGGCACAAATTGGGTGATACTCCGCGAACACGTTCTTTCTTTTTTCTCCATCGAATTGAAAATAAATGGAGATCTGATATCGATTTTGAATGAAATCATCCCGCCGATTGACAAGACTTGAACATAAACATAACCTAGGTGACCTTTTTTTTATCGTATATTTACATACATATAGCGACATTCAACAAAGTTTTTCATCGATAATGTGAAAAAAGAAAAAGAATAAATAAATAAACAACAAGCCAAAATTATTGCGAACTTATTGTAAATAATAATAATAACGATCGAAATTGTTATTTACAGGCTGTAATTTTCATTCAACGATGTATGATCATTGTCGCCATCCTACTCTGTTATTTTCACGTTCAGAGCGAAAGCGTGAATTGCGAGTACGTATATACAACATACATAAAATTTAAATGATCAGATATAATGATACATGTAATAAAAATGAACGTTAATTGTGTGTTTTATATTTTCTTCAGATTGTATCCATTCCATCATACTTGTAGAGGTACAATGTCGAGGAAACGTGCTATGTTCCCAATTATGTACGGATCAGGATGCGAGGAAAGTAAAGGAAATATAAATTGTATCAAAGAATTTGAAGAAAAACATCATATTGCCTATATTCCGTTATCGAAGTCAAAACTCTTAATCGCTTTGCTTGATGATGTAAGCGATTCTATTATTGTTTTCTTATCTATGTATTAAAGGTTAATCAAATAAAAATTGTTATATCTATATTTATTTATTAACTGTTACATTTAATATTTTCTATACAAACTGTTATAGGATTTACGAAAGGATATTACGCGATCAATCCGCCATAAATTAAGGAACGATGAAATGATTAAACAAAATTCAGCTTTAATGGAAAACTTTTTATCGCAATTGGATTCTTCGGACAATTATTGAATGAAATGGTCAGGAAATACATATTTTCTCGGCTCTTGCAACCATTTTTCATCATTCAAACTTTCAAAAATGTATAAAAGCATATATGTTTAAATCTTCGTTGTCTTCCTTTCTCCTCTTCACTCTCCCTCTCCCTAAATATACAAAATAAAATCCTTTCATCAATTCTATTTTTTTCATTTTTTTTTTTAAATCTTACTTTTTTATCTTTTTATCTTTTCCTTTAATCCAAATAATTATTATTGCTTTTTCGGTGTCCCTCTGAACAGGATTACAATTAAAATATTGTATGTTACTAACAATACACACGTGTTGCAGCATAAAAAGGTACATTTGAAATTCGAAGTAATTCCTTGGATTGTCCTATTAAAAAAAAAAAAGAATTAAAATTAAAAATATCGTTTAGAAATATTATTTTATTATAATACTATAGTTACTATTTATTGAATTTATATATAAATAAACATAAAAAAGGGATAATACAGACTGATTTTGAAAAGTTTAAAAAAAATATGTAATTAATAAAGTTACTTATTTCTAATATTAAAAGATTTCGTATAAAATTTTTATTTATGTATTTATAAAGTTCGAAAATGTACAAATACTAAAATATATATCATTATAATTTGAATTTTATAATTATTTAAATAAATTATTACATTATTCCGTAATTATTTTTTAAGCTATTTAGTAAAAGAAAATAAATAAGAAATCAAATAAATCAATAAGAATAATGAAAATATATAATAAAAAATTATTCATTAATTTATTAATTTTAATAATATTAATAATAATTTTTATGCATATATTATTAATAATATAATTTCTTTTCAAATGATTAATTATTATTTGTTATCATAATTAAAATATTATATTATTTTATATTATATACTATACCTATTACAATTTATAAAAAATGTATCAATATTATAAATGATAACAAATTTGTAATATACAATTAATTCATTTATATATTTAATTTAAATTAAATATCTAGATAATCATCGATGAAATATAAAAACATATATATATATATAGAGAGAGAGAGTACATAATATAAAATATATATTTAAATGATAATAAATAATAATTAATATATATTATATAATATATAATATAATATATATATAATAATTAATATAATATATATATGTAAGTAATATGAATTTAATAAGCAAAATATTAAACGTGAAATAATCTAATTTTTTTTTTTACTCTATAGTAAAAATATAAAATTTTAATAATTAAAAATTTCTATTTTTGTTTAAAATAATAAAATAATAAAATCATTTAATAATTATATTTAATTTTTGAAATATTTACATAATATATATAATTACTTAAAAAAATTATATATATATATAATTATTTAAATATATACATAATATATATTACATAATTATATATTATTTAACAATTCCTCATGCACAAGATGAATCAAGTTGAAACCATCATATAAGTAAAATCTTGAGATATGAAATGGGATGCATTATTCTTATTTCTTTATAAATAATTTTTATAAATAATAATTTTTATGAAATTATTAATATAAATATAAACAGGCAATAAAAAATATAAATTACTTCTAAAATAAAAATTCATACTTTCCAAAAATACTTTCAAAAAATAAACAATCAATATAACAATTTAGTATCTAATTCTGATTTTACTAACCAATAATTGAATTCACAGATTTGTTTATTTCTTGATAATTTATCTTGACAAACAATGTATAAACATAGCATATAGTAAATATATTTATATATATATTTCCTTCGTTCATTGTAATTGACGGTATGAGAAAAATCTAGCTCGTTTCTGTTTTATGTAAAGAGTTTTGTTTGAAATTTATAAAAATTTAATAATTTATATATAATATAATAATATATATAAATTATATATTTCAATAAAATTCAAAAAATGAATATTATCTCAAAAATTATTATAAATTATAACTACAATTATATGAAAACAATAATTTTAAGGTTATGTAATAAATTATACTATACAGATACGAATAACTATATATGGACTTTAAATAATATTGTAAAAAACTGTAAATACCTTGTTCCGTATCATACGTTTACAACAATTGCAGTTAATGAAGCCTTTCAAAATGAATTTATTATATCAAAAGATCATAATTTACGTGAACATCAAATCATACATTCGTATTTTGAAAATTCGATACATTATAATGATACAATTTTTTCACGTATTAAAACATATGCAAAAGTTACGTCTGAAGATATAGATAAATTGCATATTACAAATTGGTCCGATGAATCCGCAAATAAAATTTTTAATGCTATTAAAAAATTGACATATTCTTATATAAGTGGTTCACATTTAGAATTATCAGTTTATGATAGCATTTTAAAAGCTTGTATTGAACAGTTAAGAGTATTAGAAAATCAACAAATAAAGATATTAATGCAATGTTTAATTGTATTAAATGATGTAATAGAAAAAACAAGTATATATAAAAAGTTTATGAAAGAATTAAATAAAGAATGTTTAAAAAGATTTTATTCATCAAATATTAAGGAATTATTATTAATGAGTGATGCATTCTATCAACTTCAAGATAGAAATTCTGATTATTTATTTCGTGCAATAAGAAAATTAAGCTCAAAATCAAGTAAACTTTCTGCAAAATCACTAGTTCAATTATTATTTTATTTAAATTTAACTAATGTAGGATCAGCTATAAATATGTTTGAAATTGAATATCAATTAGAAAAACATATGCCTGATCTTGTTATAAATGAATTAGGTATAATAGCAAGAAGTTTTTTTTTTACAAAAAAGAAGCATTAAAAATAAAATTTTGATGCCACTTATAATGGAAAAAATTTCTCAAAATGTTAATAATTTGGATAGTATAACATTAGCATCAATTATGAAACTTATTAGGTAAGTAATCTATTATGCATAAATAATTTTTTACTATATAACAATTATATATATGTGTGTGTATATATATATATATATATATATATATATGTTTTACAGGTATAGTGATTGTATTCACTGTAAAGAAGAATTTAAAATATTATTGAACTCTCTACATGATATAATACCAAAATTATCATTACAATGTTTAATCCACATAGCACATGCATTTGGAAGTTTACACGTATATGATGAAATTTTAACAAAAAAAATTATTGAAAGGTAAATTAAACAATAAAAAAATAATATAACATATTTAACTTATTTAACTTATTTATTTTTAATTCAGAATAATAACTCAAATACAAGTTGCAAGATTAAAAGATATTGAAAGAATTATTTTTAGTATATGTACCATTGCTCCTAATAATATAAATTATTATACTGATGTATGTCAAAAATTGATTAATGAAATAATAACAACTTATAAAACAAGCAGAGCACATGAAATTGAGAAGTAAATTTTTTTTCTAAAATATTATGTTACATATATAGATAATGAAATTATATTGATTAATGATTTATTTTATATATTAAATGTAGTTTTCCAACAACACTTGTACGTATTCTTACATTTTTAACAATGAAAAATATATATATACCAGAATTAATTCAATATGTATTTGAACCTAAATTTATGCAAAAAGTATATAAAAATAATTTTAAATTAATAACAAATGAATGGTTAGTTTTACATTGCTCAATTGAAATAGAAATGCCTTGTTACAAAAAGCCAATGCTAAATAATAATATGTATAAATATTTAACAAAGGTATAATACATGAATTAATATATTTTTTTTCCAGTTAAATATATTGAAAATATTTTTTATTATTTTAGAAATTTAGTCATAATGATGATATTTATAGAAAGGATAATATTATAAAATTAAGGACTGAAATTGTATTTTTATGCAAGGTATATATATATATATAAAATTATTTAAAGAAAGATAATGCTTAAAATAATAAAATATATAAATCTTAATATTAATCTTATATTAATCTTAATATAGGAAAAATTGAGAATAAATATATATATTGATTATGTTTTACCTCATTATCCAAGCAGAGAAATTATTCTTGGTATGGATAAATATAACAATTCTGTTAATATTGAACCTATTTTATCAGCAATGCAAACAGGCACAATTAAAAGTGTTAAAAGTGATAAATTGAAGAACATAAATTGGAAAATTTTAATGATATTACCATATCTAGGAAAGATATTAGGTCATGATGATTGTAATGGATATGTACAGAGACAATTCAGACAACTTAAAGCTATTGGATATAAACCAATTCTAGTAATTTCCAAAATTATCCTTTTATATATAAATTTTTCTTTTATTATAAATTGTATATTAATTTGAGATTCTTTGAATTTTTATAGATTTGTGAATATAAATGGAACTCTTATACTCAAGATCAAAAAATAAAATATTTAAAAGAATTAATTTATCAAAACACTCATCATGATTTTTCAAAAATATAATTTTCTTAATAAAAAAAAATTTTATTTGAAAATAAGAGAAAAAAGAAAAAACAAAAGGTAAATTCTTAGTTATTTATAATCTTTTTTTTAAACTTCTTTAGTAAGCACTTTTCAATAAATAAATATTCAGTTATAAATATTTTAAATATATATATTTCGTACAAATATAATATGTAAAAATTTGTTTATTTTAGGAAATTCTTTTATTTTTTTCAGAAAAATATGTAAAAAAATCATTTTTATGTTAAATATTCTCCAAACCAATTTATTTTTATCTTTTTTCTTATAATTTTTATAGTTTTTAATAAAACAATATAATTTTTATCTATCAATTATTTTCAAAAAAATTGAGCATAAACCTTTTAGTGTATTCATAAGTTACAAATAATGTAGCTGTTGCTGGTATTGTTCTAATTAATGTTGGTTTTAAACCACTGTACAAGGAATTGATACCTTCATTTCTTACAATATCTTTCATAACTATTAATGGAGGAGTTTTCAAATTTTTTACCTTTAAAAAAAATTAGAATCAATTTATATCTATAATTCAGATTGTTTAAATCATGTAAAATTAAACTAACTTGTATTCTACTTTTAACCACATCTGCTGGAAATATTACAAGCCATAAAATACTTCCACCAACAGCACCAGCTATCATGGTTTTTTGCCATCCTATATCATCTCTACTTTCATTTGGTTTTGCTAAAAGTTCTCTAGTCACTTCATAACCTCCAAAAAAAAAGAATAACCAGGCATTTCACGTGCTATGGTTGATGACAACCCAGTAAATAAACCTCTTATGCCCTGTTCTTTAAGAATTTGACGTGTTAATCCCCATGGTCCAATTGTTTTCTAAACAAAATACTTTTTTTCAAAATTTAATTTTCATGAATATTTATATATTAATTTTTCTTTTTTTTATTTTAGTTATACTAACTTCATTTATTGATGATTCGCTTTCTATTTGAACTTCTTTTATTGCTTGTAGCTTACATTTTATAAGTTCTGTGGGACATAGTGTTAATGAAGAAAAAAATGCAGCAAAAAATCCAGCCCATGCATTTTGAATTGATGTCAAATCTTGTATTTTTTGAACACCTATATGGATATATATATATGAATATATATAGATGAAATTGGATGTATGAATGTATATGAAATTTTTTTTAGATCTAACATAGTGATGAGTTTATCTTTTTGTATTATTTTAAAAAAAACTATTTTACCAAAATATTAGAAATAACTTTTTGACACCCTCCATATGCAGCAAACAAAACTGAATTTTCAGCAACATTAGCAACTAATGCAGGTATAGTTCCTGCATATAAACCATTCATTATTCCATCTGTCTTTAATGTTTGTAAAAAGCAATTTACCATTCCCTTATACATAAAAGGAAAAGTTTGCATTTTTACCTTTATTGTATCTAATGGTTGCCCAACATAAACAAGTGCTATCCCACCTTAAATAGAAGTAAATCAATGATATAGAATAAAAATATATAAATTTAATTAATTTTTTATCATAACTAAATAACTTAATTTCTATTTATATATATAAATATCAATCTATACTTAAGATAATTATTTAATTATTATTAATATTTAAAATACTTTTTAATATTTATAATAGCAATAAGGTTAAATGCAATTTAAATATGTTAGTTCAATTATATAAAATGTTTTGAATAAAAAATTATACGAATTATAATAAAAAAAGAATAATAAATGAATTTCATTTTGCAATTTATTTTTTACTATTTTTACTAAATTCAAAATTATTTATATATTATTTATATTGAGTCTAATATTATATTTAAATATATTATATCATATTATTACCAAGTGATCCAGAAACGAAGTCAATTAAACCACTTTTAATATTTTTTAACTGCTGATTTTTTTTTTCATTGAATTCAAATGTCATTTTTGTATATCTAAATTAATAAATATCAATTAGTAAGATCTAGAAAAATGACAAGTTAGCACGTCTTGTATCTTATAATCTATTACTTATTATCGAATAAGAAAGATAAGGAAAGTTCATTTGTTGATTAAGATTAAAATATCATTTGTATTTAGTATTCTAAATTTTTTATTTATACCATGCAATTATTAATGCATTTGTCTCATTTTGCAGCCATCAAATATATTGGCGCAAGCGCATTTATATTTAGACAAATTGATAAAAAATTATTCATTGATCGGTAACAATTGAAGTATTATCTAATAACAAATTTTAAAGTCATATTTTATATACAAATTCATATATATAAAGAATTTCTATATTTTTATAAATTTTTTTATTCTATAATAAATCTTGATCTAATTATTTAATTGTGCCATGAATTTATTTTATATTTTTTACTTATTTTTAATTGCATAATAATATCAAATATATACTATTAATAAAGTATCAAGAATATATTTAACTTAATATCTATTATTGCAATATTGAAACTTAAATCATAATCAAAATCATAATCATAATCAAAATAAAATAATTACAAATTATAAAATACAATGAATATCAGAACATTTTAAAAACCGTAAATGAAACCATCTCAATATTATTTTTAGCATAGAATGTTAGAAACCGGTTGTCATGGAAACAACGTACTACAACATTTAAATTCTATATTACTAAATTAAACCATTTTATTATTTTAAATTATATTAAAAAAAAGGATTAGAATTTTCTTTGTTATGTATATATTCCATTTTTACAATGATTAATATACAAAAGTGAAATTGTAATTTTAAATATATTATTTATAAATGTTTAAAACAAAATTTAAACTAAATTATCTTACTGAAATTCATATAGTTTAGTAAATCAAGAAAGTTACTAGATTATTGTATTCAAGATATACATGTATGACGTACGCGACAGTCTGTAGTTCCAAAACATGGGTTTTCTCTGTTATATTTTCAATTAAATGATTATTCTTTTTTTATCCAATTTAGTAAAGAAAACATTAAATTTTATTTATGGTGTAAAAAAATTACAAAATTCAATACGATGATCATTCTCTTTATATTACGAAAATAGGGAAAGTGTATACGGTATAGTAGATCTGCCATGATAGATCCGAACGCGTCTTCATCTTATTCCAAAAAAGTCAGAAATTGTTAGCAAAATGTGTAATTTTTGTTATCAGGAGAGCTTCTTAAAGGTAAGTGAATTGTCTGACGAAAATTTAATGACTTTGACCATTATTAAATATCATAATAAAAAGATAAATTTTCTTATTAAATTGGAGCGCAGCATGCCTCTAGGAGCGCTCTGGCTCGTCTGCGCCATTAGCGTTCAGGGCATGATCGCCAGATATTTCTATTATATTGTCAAAATAGCATATTATTGTGATGAACCATTTTTTTGAACTATTATTACTTACATTACTTCATTGTTTGATTCTTTTCCAGTTCGAAAATAAAATTAAACAACTGATTAGTAAATGACATATCGGTGATTCGAAATTTTTAATAGTGTATTCTTTTGAAAAGAATTATATTTTTTCATTATTTGTCGTTTTTTTTATCCCTGTCCAATTTATTAGTTTTTATTTTCACAACTAAAAATTACTAAAAAACGTTCTTTTTTTTTATAGAAATTGATTTATTTTTTTATTTTATTATATATTATTTAATTAATGCTGATAATATTTTTTATTTCATTTTTTTATTTTTTTTTATATCTTAAGATTAGGTATAAATTATCAGTTTTATTATTTCTTTTTTATTATTATATTTATATAAAACAAGAAATTGTTTTTCATTTTTATTACTATAAAAATATAAAAGTATATGTTAAGTTATTTTTGATATCAAGAAAAAATGAAAAAATAAATATTCTATATAAATTATAGAAAGATTTAATAAGAAAATTAATATTTTTTATGTAGTAATAATATAAAAAATATTAAAAATATATATTTGAAAATATTGCTTAAGATTTATTGATTTATTAATTATTTAGACTAACTGAACTAATTTTTTATTTCAATAGTAAAAGTACAGATTACAGAATGGTGGTGGATTGTTTATCCATTCAAGGCTCAGCAGCTATAATACGGAAGCAGGAGCGAAGATTAGGTGGGTTAGTGGCTGCAAAGATGCAACCTAACAATGTTGGTAGTTGTGGTGGTATGACACCTAAAGAACTTTCTGACAATGATGACCTAGCTACTTCTCTCGTATTAGATCCTTATCTTGGATTTACCACCCATAAAATGAATATCAGGTATATATTTTTAAATAATATTTAAAATTTTCAAGACTTGTAACAGGAGATCATCATATGTAAAATTTATTTGACAATAAAGGTACAGACCATTAAAAGCAAATAAAGATGAACTCCGTAAAATTATTTGTGAATTTATTCAAACCCAAAATTATGAAAAAACTTATAAAAAATTAATGGGTGGTGATTGGGGTGCAAGACTTCCTCACACAAAATCTAAACAACAACAAATAAATTTAGAGAAACATGTGAGTTATATATACAGATTAAATATTTCTTAAAATTTCATAAAATTCTTTTGTAAATTAATCTTATTTTCTTCAGATTTACAGATATTTAAAAGTTTTTGATAAGGATTCTGGATTTGCAATAGAACCATGTTATAGGTATAGTCTTGAAGGTCAAAAAGGTGCCAAAATTTGCGCAACTCGAAAATGGTTAAAACATGATAAAATATCTTGTCTTGTTGGCTGTATTGCTGAACTTAGTGAAAAGGTTTGTTTAAAACATATATAAAACATGAAAAAAAGTAATTTTTCTTAATTTATTATATTTATGAAAAACCATTTTAGGAAGAAGCAGCATTATTACATCCAGGAAAAAATGACTTTTCTGTTATGTTTAGTTGCAGAAAAAATTGTGCACAACTATGGTTAGGTCCAGCAGCATATATTAATCATGATTGTAGAGCTAATTGCAAGGTTAATGAATCTATATAAATTATTATTATTATAATTATGTTAATTATGTAAAAATATTAATTTACTTATTTAATTTATGTAAAATACAGTTTGTGGCAACAGGAAGAGATACAGCTTGTGTTAAAGTTCTTCGTGATATTGAAGTAGGAGAAGAAATTACTTGTTTTTATGGAGAAGATTTTTTTGGAGATGGTAACTGTTACTGTGAATGTGAAACATGTGAAAGGAGAGGAACTGGAGCATTTGCAAATCAAAAACCAGGAGAAGAACTTTCCTCTGGTACTTTTAAATACTGGTGAATCTGAAATAATTAATATATTATATATTTTCATCATGAAATTTTTATAGGATACCGTCTACGAGAAACAGACAATCGCATCAATCGTACGAAACATAGACAACAACCATTAAGTCGTAATAAACAACAAGCTGATACCGCACTTACAGAAAAAAATGCAGTTCTTGTTGGTAATGCTGCAATAGCACCACAAAGTCTTAGTATGAAAGAGTTAAGAAGAAAGGGCTTAACAAAATATGATGCAGAATTATTAATTGCACAAGGTTGTCGATTTTCTGACATTGCTCAACAACAACCTATTATAAATAATGGAGAAAATGTATTACAAACATCTCGACCTCATCCTTCTGCTATTACTACAAATTCCGTGTCAAGAAATCTTCGAAATAAACAATTATGTAAATTTGATGGTGATAACGGTCATCAGAATAATATTAAAAATCATACGCTTCGATCGTCCAGGTAAGATTTTTATTTTATAATTAAAAAATTATAAATTTAAAATAAGAAAAATTATTATATTTAAAATTTCATATATAGAATTCATAAAAGAACAGAATCAAAGAAAAACAAAATTTCGGAAAAGATTGAATCTCCTTGTTTAAATGGTTCCATAATAAAAAATATTGAATTAGAAGATATAAGTCACCGTAAAGAAGATTCTGATAGAGTAGATGAAGAAATGATATATTCTAGATTACATAAAACTCATTCAAGGAGTACTTTAAATGAAGAAACTAATAATATTTGCCATGTTCAGACTTCATGTCATGATATATTGGAACAATCAACCTGTTCTAATCTTCAAAGAGAATGTTCAGACACATTCATTAAAAACAATAGAGAAATAAATAGCAAATTGATAAATGAAAAAGAAATACCTGATATTATTGTAGAAATTAATTCTAATTCAGTAGATAATATTAATACTTCCAATTCTAAAAAAGAACACTATAGTACAAATTCCTGTGATTCAGTTCATATAAGTTCCATGCCTGAAAATCGATTAAATGATTTACATGAAACTAATAAAAACGATATAATTTCGAAAGAAAATCATCAATCACGAATCAGTCATTATAATTTGTCTTTAATTGAAAATTGCAAAGATATAAACAATATTTCTATTGCGCCAATAAAATCAAATGATTGTGTCAAAGAATATTTAGAATTTGAAAGAAAAATTTTAAAAGAAGAAAAAGAAAAAAATTGTGAATTCGTGCATAAAGATTATTCTTACAAAGATGAAGAACAAATATGTTTAATTCACTTGAAATCACCTAAAATTTCAAATTATATAGAAACTGATACAACAACACCTACATTTGATATACTTGAATCTAGCAAAGACATAAAGAAAAATGATTCTACGAATTCAAATAAATTGATTAAATATTTAATAGAAAATGAAACAAATAAATTTGATAGATTTGATTCAGACTTTAATAAATCTTCAAATAATACTGAACATGGTAAAATAAATTTTAAGGAAAATACTATTATAGAAAATAATAAAGGGAATTGTCAAAAAGATTTAATCATGAAAGATAATATGTACGTAACTAACATTGGAATGTCTGAAATAAAATCTGATAAAATTGGAATGATTGAAACAAATCAAGATTCCCGAACAGATCCCTGTAAAGAAAATAAAAATTTCAGTAGAATGGAAACTATTAATTATAGTGAGATTAATAAATGTAATATACAAGATACTCATAATTCTATTTTAAAACAACCTGTGCAAAAAAATGATTCATTACATACAACATTAAGATCTCATAAAAGTAGAAGAAAACTTTTAAATGAAAAAAAACCTGCAATTTCTGAATTAACAGAAGAATTAGAAAGTGTTACGGAACAAAAAATAACTGATAATATGATTGTATCTGTTTCAAAAACTCGCAATAAAACAGAAAAAACAAAAAGTAGATTAACAAGAAGTCAAAAGAAAGATCGAAAGGAATTAGCTACTACTGAAATTGGTGTAGCTGATGATGATTCGGGAATTCAAGATATTTATGAATTTAGTGAAAAAGAAAGTAATTTGGAAGATATTAGAATACCATCAATAATGCGACGTAAACAAGAAACTCGTTATACATCTGGACTCACGTCGCATTTACAAGAAATGCAATATAATGATGAATGCAATAAAGTTGAACCTCCAGTATTACTTCCGCAAGAACCATGGCCACCAATTAATTGCAATCAGAATCAATTGTTAGATCCAGATAGTAATAGTCAATTAAGAGAAAATTCCATACATAATGAAAGCTTAAAGAGGTAAATATTTTTATATTTTGTATTTGGCTTTTTATTAAAAAATATACATATAAAAAATTATTTATTATAGATTATCAACTTGTAGTAATGATAATGCACAAAAGTTAACAACTCCTACAGAATATCAATGGCAAATGAATAGTTCTAATTGTCAAGTATGTCCAACTACTCCAGAGAGAACTGGCAGATTAAAACTTACTCTTCGCATGAAACGTTCGCCAGTTTTAGAAGACATCGTAGAATCGGGTACGAGTTTAAGTGAAGATAGTTATGAACCTGAATACGAAGTATTACGTGTAGAAGGTGTGGAAAGAAGTAGACGTAAAAAAAAACATAAAACTCGAGATCGTGAAAAACGACATAAGAAACGCGAATTAAATCTTGATCCTCCTCCACCACCTATGAAAAGATTGCGTTTAATTTTTGGCAATGAAACACATACTATCGACTTTCCACATTCTTAACAACTATAAATAGTGATTTTCAGTATCATCTGAAATAAATTATAAACATAATTTAGACATGTTAAAGCAGGTCTCCTTGTCCTGTAACATTATGAATTTCTTTGTAGTTTTACAATTATAAACGATATATACTGTCGTTAAACTTTATAGGTATTTGATGATAAAATTATTGTGTTCTGATTTTTTGTCATTTTTTACTGCTTAAATTTTGTCTTGCTTCTTATTCTTCTAACAACGAATAATTAAAGGCCTAGTAAACATAAATTTAAAAAAAAAGTGTATTGATTCGTATGCTGTTCAGTAAATATTTATTAAAAATTTTATATAGATCTATTTAAAACAGATAATACGTAACTAATTAGATTATTATATTCATAACAAAATTAGTATTTTATTTTATTGTTGTCGTAACTTGCTTCTTCATTAATATTGTATTTATACAAACATAGTTTTGATAAAACAGGTTTTAAAACCTATAGTCTTTCATTTTCTGCTTATTTTCAATATTATAAATTTATATTGTTAAACAATTTTTTACTAATAAAATATTTATATTATATATGCAAAATTCACACATAAAATACATCCTTGTCTTAAAAACAAGGAAAGAATATATTGAGTTGAGTTATATCTATATACTATTTCCAGATAAGGACAAAGGAGAAAAATCTATACTCTTATATTATGTATAATAAGCTATAAAATAATAATAATGATAATAATTCAATTTAAATTAGTTAAATACTAGATATCATATATTAATTGCTGTTCTCAAAATGCGTGATTGATTACCGAGAAAAAATTGTAAATATTGCTTATGTGTACGTAAGCGCGTGCGAATATATATATATGTGTATGTATCATAATGATATACATGCAAACATACTTAGTACATTGCTCGACACATGCGCGCGCGTACACACACACACACACACACACACACACACAGCACAGCACACACACACCACATACACATATATAGAGAGCGCGTGCGCAAAGAAATATAATTGTTGTATTCCGTATATCGATGTAATACAATGCCTTAATGCTAATGAGTATAAAGCAAGTGCATTGCACGTAAATGTCATCGTGTACCGAATACATATATCGTTTATATACGATAATGAAAATGAATATAAGAAAACTTCATTTAGTGAGATAGATTAAAAATTTTAATTAAAAAATAAAGAAAACAAGAAATAAATAATCATCTTTACAATAGAGTTTCGACAGTAGATTTTGAATTAACGTTTGAATTTAAGAAACAATATTTTATGTTAAATTTGTACATATTGTTGAATTTGATTCAATTATAAAACAATCTAAATTATCAAAATATAAAGTTTAAGTAGAAATCATATATACAATTTTACAAACATTAAGATCTGAAAAAGTTTAGTAGAAAAATTCTTTAGTCATTTAAGTGACAGAAGAAATCCATTTCATGTTTTGTGTTAAGATTCATATTTTCATAATTCATATTTTTCGAACAACATTGTTCTCAAATTTTACGACTCATAAATGTTGGATGTGAATATTTACTTTAAAAAATATAACAAAAAATTATTATTTATTTTTCATTAATTGGACTTGTACATTGAAGTCATGATAAAAATAATATAAGCCGAGTAGATTTTAAAGTTCTAATGGTTGTTTGATTTATTTGACTATTTTGTAATTTTAATAATATATTTTATATATTCATAATATGCGGAGATAAACATTTTAGTACACATATACAATGATGTTGTTTTTGATATTCATTTTAATCTGTCGCTTTCTTTAAAGTGTATTTTAATTTTAGATATGAATTTAAAATTACTTATGAAAATTTAAATAAAATTGTACGAATCAAAACTCGTACAAATTGCTATTGTTATTAACATATTAAATATGTGTTTTCTTTTTTTTATTGATTTGTATATTAAATTTTGGTACAGTCTTTAAAATATTTTATTATTTTATTATATATTTTTTAATAATGGTTATATTATATATTTTCGAAAAAAATTGAAATACGCTTAAAACGCGGGAAATTGTCCGAGAATTACATAGCGATTAAGATTCATAAATTGAGATTGATTATATATTATTCATTCATAACAAAATATTTTCTTTATTATTTATCATGAAATCTTTATCTAATGAATATTTATAATCATAGCCATAAAAATTTGGCGAATATACTATTGTATATTTATATCATATAGGTGTATCTATTTTCCATTTTGCGTTTATTAGTAAAATACACATGACAACACAAAAAAAGTTTTCAAATATATACATCAAAAGGAATTCTAGTTGGAAAATCAGTATTTCATTGGTAAGGAAACATGTAATAAAAAAGTTGTATTCCTAAAATTCATTTAAAAATTAATACATCTTCAGATTAATTGATAATGACGACTATTTCTCCATTATGTAATAAAGCATTTAATTAACGTGAAAACGTTATGTCATTTCAATTGTAATCATATAAGATGTAATTTTAGTCGATAATATGCCCGTTAATTGATCTATAATATAAAATTTGTGATAAACTTCTATTATATTATTCTATTAAATATTCTTGTTCTAACATAGTATTGTAGTAACTGTTTTTCTCTAAGATTTTAGCAAATTAACAAATATTAGTCGCATTGACCGAATTATTATTAAACTATACATGTATTTTTAGACTTGTAAAATAGCAGAGAATGTTTATTAAGGAGAAAAAGAAAAAGAAGAGAAAAATTAATTTTCAGAATTTTAAATTGTGAAAATTTTAATATAAAAAAAATTTTGGATTAATTTAAATTTTTATCATCATATGTATAAAAAATGTAGTTACATACAAAATAATGTATACTTTTTCTAGTAAAATTAACGAAATATTAAATCATAAACTATAAAAAAAATGTTAGCATAAAATTTTAATATTAATTACTTATATACGCATATTTTTTGCAACTACAAGATATAGAAGTTGTATCAAGAAAGAAATTAATTAATTGATGGCGAGTTATTAAATTATTCAATGTTTATCTTTACATTAGAAAAAAATAAATTTGAATCAATAATAGATTAAAATATGCATCGATATTAAATAAAATTTTTAAGTTTTAAATATGTAATAATGTATGTACTTATGTATATTCATGACACGCTGTGAAAACAATATTTCATACAATAATTGCAGTTTTTCTCTATTTATGAAAACTTTCTGTTATCGAGTAGTTTTTCTTTCACTGCCATTGTAAAATTATAACGTCATTAATTTCATACAATTATAAAATGTAAGCTATAATAAATACAATTTATCATATGTAAAATATAATAAAAAATGATTTTAATTGTAGATTAGATATTAAGACTTAATTTCAATAATTTAAAAAATTCATAGCCCTGACATAACCTATAAATGTATTATTATCGTTATTGTGATTGTATTATCTTTATTGATCAACAAAACCAAATGTATATTTTGATTGTTTTCTACAAGTTAAAGTATAATAATAAATGAATTGCATAACCTAATATAATAAGAATAATAATAACAATAATAACTTATGCAATTTGTTGTTATTTAATATGTAAACATAAGAGCATGTTATTAATTTTTTATTATACGTAAAGTCAATTGAATAGACATTATATACATATATGATATTATATAAGAACAAATTAATTTTTTTATCATGTTATTTATGATATAACATGTTTTAAATTAATAGTTTGCAATTCTAATCGTTTGAAAATGATTTATTTGTACAAACAAGATTTAATATAGATTTAAAAACCAATGCAATTATATTCAATACTCATTTTTATAACAATTTAATAAATAAAAAATAATTGAAATTAATATTATAATTTTCATTAAAATATTGTAAATTAAATATTCACAAATAACATTTATCATTTAACATTTAGAATATTTTTATAAAATTTATATTGTTACGGATATATTAATCATTGGTCAAATTCATACTTTAATTTACAACTATATCATCAATCATATTATATGTGCACTCTGTATTACATTTATATATATAAGATAGAATTTATTAGTCAATTTTTCAATTTTAATTTTAATACAACTGATTATAGTTAGAACAATTATCACTAAATGTCTCACTGTGTCTATTTTCTCAAATATATTTTCCTAAATGATTCTAAAAAATTTTATCATGTTAAAAATTATTGTATTTAATAAAAATTTGTTGAATATACTTTAATATTAAACGATCTATATGCATTTCTAAAAAGTGAATGTTTATCATCTTATATTATTAGTAAGTTTTTCTTAATTTTCTAAAAATTTGTTATTAAACATGATTTTTTCTTTAACTAATTGAAAATTTATTTCGAAGGGTAATTTACTATCTTGTAGCTATTTTATCTATGACCATGTGCAATAGCAAATACAAATAAGTATACAAATAAAAGAATACAATAGAATAAGAATAGAAAAAGAGTAAAAATTTTAAAATTAATATAATTTTTAGAATGCCATACATGAAATACAAATTTAAACAAAGAAAGAATATTTGTGAAAGAATATATCAAATTTTTTAAGAAAATTTTTAAAATTTATTAACTTTTGTAATTGAATTGAATGTAATTCTATTCTTCATTCTAAATCATAGAAAACATAATAAATATTTTGATTTTTACTTAAAGTGATTTTTACTTTTTATTATCTGATGATTAATTTTATTTATTGTTAATGATGTTGCGATATTTATAAATTATATAATTTATAATTTTAAAAAATTATATAAAAGCTTATAGTTATTAATTGAGTAATTAATCTTAAAATATGTGTTAAGAAATTTCAAATTTTATTTGCAAAAGAAAATTAAACAAAAATATTTTAATCATATATTTCTGAATGAGTTATATTTTTTTAGAAGAACAATTATGACATTTGCTGATTTAAATTTAAGCTTATGGCTTGTCCAACAATGTACTTTTATGGGTTAGTATTCAAATATTGATTAAATTGTTAAATAAAAATTATTGCTAATTATTATATTTCTAGGTTTAAAATATCCCACATCAATCCAACAAAATTGTATTCCAAGAATTCTAGCTGGTGATGATTGTATTGGCTGTGCAAAAACTGGCAGTGGCAAAACACTTGCTTTTGCACTTCCTATATTACAAAAATTGTCTGAAGATCCATATGGTATATTTGCGCTTGTTTTAACACCAACTAGAGAACTTGCTTTCCAAGTAGGATTAAAATTTTTAAAAATTTTTAAAAAATTTTATATATTCAATCTAATACAAAACATTTTATTTATTTAGATTGCAGATCAATTTTCAGCAATAGGAAAATCTATTGGTTTAAAAAAATGTGTAATTGTTGGTGGTATGGATATGGTTATACAAGGTTTAGAATTATCAAAACATCCACATATAGTTGTTGCAACTCCAGGACGTTTAGCAGATCATCTTGAAAGCTGTAATACATTTTCTTTGAAACAAATTAAGTTTTTAGTCTTAGATGAAGCTGACAGACTTCTAGAAGGTTACTTTGATGATCAGTTGAAAACTATATTTGAGGCCTTACCTAAGCAGAAACAAATGCTTCTTTTTAGTGCTACAATGACAGATACTCTTCACAAAGTGAAACACATAGTATCCAGTAAGGTATTATAAAATTTTATAAACAGTTAAAAAATTAACAAAAAATTATATGATGAAAAATAACTTTAAATATTTTTAAAGACCTTTATATGGGAATCTAAAGATGAATCTGGTATAGCTACAGTAAAAGAACTTAATCAACATTATGTACTTTGTCCAAGTGATATTCGTGATTCTTTCTTAGTAGAAGTAATTAGAACTTTTCGAGCAAATAACAAAAATGGATCTATAATGATATTTACAGATACTTGCAAGTAAATTAAAATTATATACATATGATATTTCATATAATATAAAGATTCAATATTTTATTCTATGTTAAATTTTTTAGACATTGTCAAATATTATCTATGACATTAAATGATGTTGGATTTAAAAATGTAGCTCTACATTCAATGGTAAAACAAAAAGATCGTTTAGCTGCACTTGTTCAATTTAAATCCAATCATATAAAAATTTTAATAGCTACAGATGTTGCAGCAAGAGGTTTAGATATTCCTACTGTTGAATTAGTTATAAATCATATTATACCAAATGTACCAAAAGAATACATTCATAGAGTTGGAAGAACAGCTAGAGCAGGCAAAAGTGGTATGGCAATTACTTTAATAACTCCACATGATATTAAATTATTACATGCAGTTGAAAATATTATTGGTACAAAACTCACAGAATATAAAGTCAATGGTAATAAATTTTTTTCTTATATTTTATAAAATTAATATTCAGGATATATTTATATATTTTTTTCATGTACAGATAAAGAAATAATTACAATTTTAACACAAATATCTGTTGCTAAACGAGAAGCAGAAATGAAATTGGATGAAACGAATTTTTATGAAAAAAAAATAATAAATAAACGTAAAAAACTTATCCTTGAGGGAAAAGATCCAGATGAAATTGAAGAAATATTAGAAAAAAAAAAATGCTATAAATTAGAAAAAAAACAGAAAGTTCCCAAGAATTCATATAATAAAAATAAAATGTGATTGTAATTCAGATTTTATTATCATTGAAATATATAACATAATAAGTAAGTGTATATAATATAAGTAATATAAATTACAAACTATTTTTGTAATAATACAATAATAATGTAATAATACAATTGTAATAATACATGAACAAGAAAAATATATTTTTCTTGTGTATTGTATAATTAAAATTATCATGTTTTAAAAAATAATTATTTTATAAAAAGAAAATAAATATCAATGAATACTTTTTCATTGAATACTTCAATATTTTAAAAATATCAGCAGTAAAACATTCAAAACTGTGCTCCCATTTTCTTTTTATATTGTATTAAAGGTAATTTATTCAAAAAAGTATATAATTCTGTAATATATTCTTTTGGATATTTACGATAATGTCCAACATGTGGAGATTTTTCAAATATTTTAATGTAAGTCTGAAAAAGAGAGATATAAATATTTCTGATACTATTTTATGGTTTATATATATTTATATATATTACCTTTACACCCACAGTATCCCATTGATCCTTTACTCTTAAATTATTTGTTAGTGAACCTACTGGATCTGTTTTACTTACAAAAAATAATGCTGGACTATGTACCAAATTTGTATGAAACAATTGACTAGATCTTATATAATATTGTGTAGATTGTTTATAAAAAGCTTTCATATGATATCTGTAAATTATATTAATATATATAAGATGTTTAAAAAATTAATCAAAAGATTTAAGGACATGTAATATTTATCAAAATAAATGAAAAAAACCTTAATAAGTATGAAATTAAATATTATATTGTAAGTAAATTATAAGATGTTTTTATCAATTATTATTTAAATATATATAACTTTGTCACTGTACAGCATGTAAAGAAGTGTTTTTTGTAACTATGATGGATTTTAAATCTTCAGATTAGTGGAAATCTTTCAAAATCTGTATAAAAACTTTAAAATTAATCTTATTATTTGCTATTGAAGTTTAACTTCAATATTTTAAAATCCTGTATAATTTAAATTGAAAATTTATATTATAAAAAATATGAATACAATAAATACAAAAGTTAACAAACTTACTCTAAATATTTTTGAAACATATTTTGTAGCATTTTATTTTTTGGAAATATAGCACGTGGTATACCTATTGATAATTCAGTCACATCAGCTAAACTATCCCATACTTGACCAACAATTCTTTCAATCACATTATTATATTTTTGATAATCACTTTGTATTAAATCCAAAATTTCTCCCCACATATATCCACCTACTGAAAATCCATGTAATACTATTTGCTGATAATTTTGATGTTGTATTAGAAACTCCAATAAATCTGAAGCAACTAACTAAAATGAAACTTTTATAAACTAAATTATGATATTATAAATATTAATATATGTAATATATTATTGTTGTATTTACCCTAGATCCTTTTGTAGGCCATATTAGTTGCCAAGGTGTAATTGATAATATAACAACATCAAACCCTTGTTCTATGTATAAATTTGCAAATTTCATAATATGTTTATGCTTTGGTAACAACCAACTAAGTAAAATTAACAAAGGTCTGTTTTTCTCATTATTAAAATTCTGTATAATTACATCAGTTCTAATTTGATTATCATGCAAAATATGTTCAATATTTTTTGTAACATGGTAGCTTGATAATTTACACATCAATAGAAAGTTAGTCTAATTAAGAAAAGAAAAATTATTAAAATTTAAATTCTTAAAAATAAATTAAAAAATAACAAATAAATATTACCAAATTTTGTTTCTGCTGTAATAATTGTGGTTTTATACAAGAAATCAATCTTATTCTTGTGAAAGTAGATAATACTACTCTTTCAACTACCATTATTGCTAATTAAAATATATTTTATTATTGTTAAAATATAGATTTCTTATATAATAATAATGTAATATTGAATATTGAATATTTTTAATTTGAAAATTAATTTATAAAATTGAATTATCATTTTATTAAAATTAATGAAAATTTAATATTATATATATTATTTTTTATCATATATAAGAATGGGAATCACAAAAATTTTATTATTATTAAAATATATTATAATAAAAATTATATATATGATTTATATTATATTTCAATTTTTAATGGAATAATCTCTATATATTTATAAAAGTAATCAATTGAATTAAGTAAAATATAATCATTATTTAAAATCAATTGATCCATATAATATAAAATGTCATTTTTCTTAATGTATGCATATAAATTATTTTTTTATTTTTATTCCTATTTTTATTTACTTGGTATTATGATTATGCATAAAGCAAGAAAAATAATATCACTTAAACGTTCATTCATGCGCATTTCATGCGCATGCGATATATAATTTTATTTGTGTACATATGACATTTTACTATATTAAGTATATCAAAAATAATTAAATTTATATTTCTTTCTACTGTTTATTTTTAAACTTTTAATAGTATATAGTATTAATAATTTTATAGAATTACTTGCGAATAAACAAATCAAATTTTCGAAAATTGCAATTGTAAAATATTGAAAATAAATTCTCAAATTTATTAAAGATAATTATTTTTGGACATAATATCGATATAGTATTTATATAAAAAAAAAAAGAGAGTAATTTTTTACTTTCATATGTATTCGAATTGTTATAATACTAAAATTATTATTAAATTTTTATTTTTTTTTTATGTTTTATAGATTTTAATATACGAAAATAAAGAATTTAAAAATTAGCGATTTAAAAATTAATCTACAAAAGTCTGCAAAAATTTCCATATTTGTACAAAATTTCATATGATATTTCATAATTATTATGTTATTAATATTGTAATATTAATACAATTATTTATTTAATGAAAAATATATTATTATGAATACTTGCTTAAACAATATGTAAAATTGTCGTTCTGATATTGTTCACTTCTTTATATCCAGTTACTTTGTAATTTAAATGATTATGGTGGACTTTTAACTGATTATTTTATCAATTATAATTTTCATTATCAGCTCGAATAGATATGTTAAATTTAGTTTGTATAAAATAAAAAATTTTTTATATATACAAATCTTTATATGAAAAATCTTTACATACATAAAAATATATACAAAATGAGACTTTTTAGACTTCGGATATTGAATTAGTAGTAATGCTAGTTACTTATTGCAATGTTGAAATATAAATTATGCTAATATAAAATTTATATTTATACAATTTTATATTTATTTTTATAATTATTAAATAATTTTTTAAAATTATTTTTTATAAATAAAATATATAAATAATTTTATATTTATATATCATATATTTTATATTAATGAGGTTATTAACTTAAAACTAGACATTGGATTTTTAATATGCAATCTAAACTGATTTTGAAGAACTATTCAAGGTTTTATGTTCTGGATTCATGATTAATTAAAAAAATAGACATTGGCGATATAAATATTTGATTTATTAATTAAAATTATGTATGAATATATATATATATGTATAGATAAATTTATACAATATCTTATTATTAAACCCGTAATTTAGTCTGATGTTTTAATTTGCTGCTGAATTTTGATATTTTCAAATTTATTATAATCAGAATTTTCAGAAAAATTGCCTCTGTAGAATGGTAGAATGGAAATAGGAGATCAAATTCCAGGTTGCGGTTCTATCCTAACAATACAATATAATACAATTCAATAGAAATAATATTGTACTAGAAAGATTGTAAAATATTGTAATAGAAATCACTTATATTTTTTAATAAATTATATTATTTTTTTATTATATTTTTAATTATTTAATAATTATATTTAATAATTAAATGTTAATTTTATATTTAAATTGAAATAAATATGGTATAAAGATAAATTTGATATAATATAATATCATATTTAAATAAAACATATTAAATAATAAACATATTTGCTAATTGATAAGCAAATATTATTATTAAAAAAAATAGAAAACTATTATATAATTATTAATTTCAATTTTATTAATAATAATTATTAATTTAATTATCATATAAACTACTTAAATTCATAATCAATTTTTTTAAAAAATCTTAATTCTCAATTTTTTTATAAATAAATTCTATGATACAAAAAATGAAATTTGAATTTTTTGATGAATTACATTTTATTTACAATTCTAAATATTTATGTATTATTTTACTTATTTCAGAATGTAATTTAAAATAAAAGTAAATAAAAATCATATTAATTATAAATTTCAACGTTTTCATTACCACACATATCATTATCATATATATGGTAATACTGTTTTTTTATATCAATATTTAAAATTTGCAATAATGAGTATAATATTTATTTTTTATGATATTATAATTACTAATAATTATTTAATCTTATATTATATTATATAAAACACCTACATTTAAATACATTTTATATTGTGTACATTATTAAATATGAAGATATAATTTTTATATCAACAGAGGAAGAAAATTAGAAAAATAAAAAATATGAGATACTTTTATGACAAAAATTTTCTTCATATTTGAAAAAATTGTTTTATACATAAAATATAGTAATAATAACTATAATATTTCATAAACTTTTATTAAAATAATTTAATAAATTTATATTTTATATTTTTTTATAATTTTATTAAATTAAATATTTTTATTTCTTCCTCTGTTATCTTATTTATATATTATATACGCGCATATTATGTGTAATGCACATATATATATTTGAAGGAAATGTTATAAAGAGGTCAAGTAATTTGTTAAGGAAATGTAACGAAATTATAAATAATATGTATAGTTCATTCTAAATAATTTCATTTTAAAAACATAATATTCTACTCTAATGTACTGCGCTGATATATTGTAATGTTATTTATTTCATATTTCATATTTAATATTTCATGTTTCATATTCAGCAATTAAAACATTTTTTGTTTTTCATTACATTGATTTGTTATTTCTGATTGATATTTCTGAACAGATGTATATAGATACATATATTATATTATTCCTTAAAGATAAAATATATTATTCTCAAAATTTCTTAAATTACTGGTTTGACAATCAAAACATTTGTAATTATTTGCTGAATTGATATTATGAACTCATGATTTTAATCAACTATATAAAGAATACATACTAATATTTATTGATGCACAAAGCCTTATAATGTCTTAAATATTTTGAATATTGGATTACAAATATATATTAATTAATATTAAACATTTCTTTCATCATTTGAAAAATGGCAAATTATGCTTCTAGAATTTGTTTTCAAATTTCATGTTAAAAATTTTTAAAAATATGTTATGATGGAAAGATAATTTTATATTAATATCATAAACAAGGCTAAATTTTTTCTTTTCATTTACATTCTTTAATTCTTGTAAAGTATATCTTTATGACCTCATAATACCGCTTCCATCAATTATACTTGGAGTATAATATTAAAAAATAATAAAAATCTATAAAACAATTTTTTGTAATATTATGGACAAAAATACATAAATTAAATAAATAAAATTAAAAAAAAATAATATATGACTTATTCTATGTAGTCTTATTTGAAATGTTTTGAAATTAGCACAATTAAAATTGCTAGAATAACAACGCTAATAAATCTTTCTTAAATATGATTAAAAATCATATCTTTTATGACAATATAACAAATATAATCAAATATTGATCATTATTCAGCTTCAGGAAGCTCATAATTAATAATTTCTTACAATTATATTATGTGAAATAGGCTGTTAATAATATAATTTTTTAATTGTGCATGGACATGTAAATATTCCATAAATAAAAAACATACACATCTAATTATACAGTAAAGATATACAATTAATTTTAGTAAAAGTATTTATGTAATTCAGTTTTTTCAGAAAGTTATTTAATTAAAATATCTACAATTTTAGATATATAGGCCAGTCTTTGACAATTATCTATTTAACAAGATCAAGTTTATATCATTGAACATTAAGAAGCTAATCTAAATATATTTTCATAAAAAAAAGTATATTATAATTTAATTTAAAATATCTTTTAGAATAAAATTTTTTTATTCTATGCATTATAAAAGTTATATTTTTTAAAAAGAAATATTTTATATATCTATAAAAGAAAATATTTATCAAGCTGACCATATTGAATTCAAATTATATAATTTTTTTAATTTATTAATTTTCACACATCGTAAAAAATAACATGCAAATTTTTTAAAAGTAGCAATTCAAAGAATTAAACAAGGTGTGTGTATGTGTGTGGTATGCGTGTGAGAGAGAATTATTTTCTTAAAAAAATTTAAATAACTATTTTTTGTATAAAATTGAAAAAAAATATATACATAATTTAACTAATATATAAAAACTTCACAGCAGTCATATTATATTTTAAAAAATTATTGCATAAATAAAAATTTTATATGTAAATAGATAAAATAACTTAATAAAGTTGTATTATTGTATTGTGAATTATGAAATGATTTTATATTAATAAAAAACAGTATTCTTCTGTAATATTTTTTATGAGATGGCAGTATTGATGTAATATAATCTCTTATTCCCTTACTGGATTTTAATAATATTTTATGAATATAACATCAATGGCAGTATCATTTTAGATTTTACTATATTTCATTCATTATGTAATTAAAAAAATTCTTTATGTCGTAATAACGACAAGAATATATAATTTACTACTACTGTAATATACATATATGTGTTTAATGCACTGCTCGTTATATTATGAATAATTTCACAATTTAAATCATACACTTACCTTCACAATAATAATTATATTATTAGACTTGAAAAGTAAGTGATGTGCAATATTTCACCTTCGATTTGTGCAAAATTATATACAAGTTTCTAATATGAAATGATTTTGTGCTGTATCTCAGAAAGCTTCAACAAAACTAGCTGGAAAAAGACCAGTACGACCAGTTCTTGGTTGAGTACCTTTATACCAACCATCATCACGTTTTTTATGTACATAAATAATATCTCCTACTCGAAGTTCTAGTTCAAATTCGCTATTAGGTGGATATGGCACAATGCAACGAAATCTGTATACTCGTTCTCTGAAATAAAAAGTAATAATAATATATATAATAAAATATATATTATATATATAAATATATATATAATAAAAATATTAATTACTTAAATAAAAACATAAAAAAAATAAATAATTAAAACAAAAATAAAATATAAAATGATTAAATGATAAAAGTTTTTTTTTACCGTTCACGAGTAGGTTGTTGTTTAACTTGTTTGCCCATACCAGCATCTAATGAATTACTTTTACGGTGATGATTTCCTATTGGTGTACATACCATTCCACCTGATTCATTAGATCTATGAATATTAATAAGAAACATAAAATAAAATTGATTTATTAAAATTTCAAAAAGAAAAGAATATTATATAATATTATATTTCTTATATAATATTATATAATAATAAATAATATTTGTCAAATTTATACAGTGATTATACATCAAATATACACATACTTAATTAACAAGCAAACTCTTGAAAGTATTCGAAATAAAAAAAACAATAAAAATTATAAAGTAGAATTAAAAAATAGGTAAAAAATATAAAAATTTTAATGTCATTAATCAAGCATTTATAATATACTATTCGTGACTATTCTTCTTTTTGCAATATTTATTAGAACACTTACCTATATATTGCATCATTTATTGTAAATGTTAATATAGTTAAATATATATGCATCACACAACTATTACATACAAAGTATTATAAAAGACTAAATACAATTTTCATTTTATATATGAGCTGGGCAAATATATTAAGATAAATACCTTTTACAATAAATACTAATTTTTAAATAATTTTATTTGTCAAACATATATAATTTTAATAACTAACCTTTGAAGAATTGAGACCGGTAAAGATGGTCTCTCCTTGTATTTAAGTCTTTGTGAAGATGTGACATGTCCCTGCACAGAGCCTGGACACAAACGATGGTAGTTGTTTGAAGCATTTAATTCCTGTGTAGCTCCCACCTGTAGCAACTGACTTGGGCAAGATCCTGATCTAATTTTAAATATATCCGCCCAATCCCCGTGTAGAATTAGACAAATAATTCAACACATGCAGCTCATATAATGTTAAAAAATAAAAAAAAAATAATGGAAAACAGATCAAAAACAATTATTTTGCATATATAAAAATTATTCTATATACATATGTGAACATTAAAATCATGCAAAAATTTCAACAATTAACATATCATAAAAATACATATATAATTGTATAAATTTTAAATTGTAACATAAAAATATAAATATCAGATAACAATACAATTACATGCAGATTATTAATAAAATGTGTTAAATATACTATAAACATGCAAATTTTATTTATTTTTTTAAAATCTTCAATGATATGTTTAATTATGTGTTTATATAAACCATTGTTATTGCAAACAATATAGAAAATAACTTACCGAACATGTACTGGATTAATGGAATTGCCATCTTCAAAAACAGGATTATCCATTGAATAAGTAGTAGGAGGTGGTGATTTTGATTTCTTGATATTCGTTAATCGTCGCATCAAAGAGACACATTTATCTTTTTTTTCTTTCTGCTGTAATTAAAAAAAAAATATATATATATGTTCATATAACAAAGAAGTAATATTACATAGAATAAATTATATACCTTTTCACTATTTTTAGATACAGAAACTACTGCAGTGGAAGAAGGAGAAGCTACAGCATGCAAAACACTATTTGGATTTTTATTCATTTCATTTATGATGGAAGAACTAGCACCAGTAACAATAGTACCACTATTGTTGATACCAGTAACTGTGGTTGTAGTCATTAATGATTGAGGTAAAGTTACCTGTTTTCCAGGAGAAGCTAAAATAAACAATTTTTTATATAGACACATTTTAATATAATATATTTTATTAAAATTATTACATACAAATATTTGATGACATGACAGCACTGTGACTACGTCCAAGAGGATTTGCTGAATTTTGTTCCTTATATCGTGGAGGACTACTTTCTTGATTTTGCGCTTGACTTTGACCATGCCAAGATGATGATACTATAAAAGATGGACTAATAGCACGTGGTGGTAATTCTGGTGGTAACAATGTGCGTGGATTATAAGATTGAGAAGTGGATCCTTATTTTTAGAATAAGTTGCAGTTATTCGTGACTCAGTATTATTTTGACTTGTTGAAGATGGAAAGCTTTGATGTTGCCCTGTATTTGGTGATCCTCGACATAAACTTCGCTGACATCTACGAAAATAAAATTATTTAAAATCAAGAAATTATATTATAAATTTTTAATATAAGTATATATTCATATACTTAGCAGGTGCAACATAATTTCCTGGAAAAACTCCACATTTTTGTGTACGATTAGAAGTTCCTTTAAACCATCCATCTTGACAACGTTCTGTTACCATATAAATGCCTCCTTTTCTTAATTCAAGTTCATCTGCTTTTTGAGGTTTATATGGATATAGAGCTATATATGCAGCTGGTAAATGAGCATTTGCGACTGTAGCAGATAAAGTTTGTGATGATTGTGCAAGAGCAAGATCACTACTACCGCTTCGCCTGTGACGAAGATTATGATCTGCAGTAGTGGTAGTTGTCTGATAAATAAAAAGAGAAAAAAATTAATATTTTTTGATTATAATATTAATACAAAGTTTATTTAATATAATAAGAAATTTTTTTATCACATTAGTATGGTAAAATATTATTCACCTGTAATGAAGAAAATGAATCATTACTGTTACCAACAGCATTATCTACTGGAGGACTAAGTATTTCTGCACTATGTCTATGATGTGGATGAGCTTGATGACCAGTATTAACAGCAGTAAAACTATGACGCTTAACATTCTGTCTATTTCCAACTGCAGGAGGAGATGTTGCTGGACTACTAGGACTACTTGGAGCAGTACTAGAACTGCTAGATGTAGTTGAACTATTAGGAGTGTTTGGAGTAGTAGTTGAAGAACTACCTCCTGATGATACATTTGAAATTGAATCAGAAACTGGTAAAATTGTATTCTAATAAAAAAATATTAAATGTTAATATATTTTATTATATTTTAAATATTAAAAAAATAATATATTTTAATAATAAATTAATAATACCTGCATAAGTTGTGGTCGTGATTGATTTGTTTGTAAATTACGCGAATGATCAGTTGGTATTAAAGGTGTAGTCTCTTCGTTAGTAGGAGTAGGAGGTGCTACTCTTGATGGACCTGGTTGTGTGCTATTTGAAAAAAATATTAATTATAATTAAAAAACTATATATATTATAATTAATAAAAACATACTAATTATATACTAATGTTAATGGTAAATTATAAAAATTACTTTGTTGAAAGTTTCATTAAAGCTCTTGCCACACTATTCAATTCCACAAAAGCTAATGGAAAGATGCCAATTCTATCCAACAGTTTTCCTTCTGCCCAATTTTCATCAACTCTTCTAATAACACTAATAATTTCTCCCTATAAAATTATTTTTAAAAAAAGAATGCAATATCAAATCAAATAAATGAATATAAAACATTAATATCTATATATACTTTATTGAATGTAAGACAGCCATCTTCATCATCATTGGTCATTCTAAAATCATATAAAGCTTTGCACTGAGGAACATCTGGAGTCAATGGTGTCATTATCTGTACATATGAATTTATTAAATACTTTTTATATTATGTTATTAACATTTTTATATTAAAACAATAAAATACATTTTAATACATACTTGGACATAAGACAAAGGAAAAACTCCATGACTATTAGCACTTTCTCCAAAACACCAATTATTATCGATTTTCTTACGTAAAATGACAATGTCACCTTTTTTAAAAGATAAATCTCTGAAATTAAAAATAGTTTTTAAAATATCATTTAAATATATATTGATTCAATTTTTTTAAAAGATTATAAAATTACCCTGGAACTTTTGATACATAATCATAGATTGCTCTGCCATATGTTTGATTGTGTAATTGAACTTGTTTCGCTGTTGCATTACCATGTCGAATTGGTTCATTTGTGAATGTAGTAGGAGTAGGATTATTAGTTACAATGGGAGCTGAAGTAATTTGATGGCCACCAAAGAGTCTTTGAGATCCTGGATTATTTTTAATTATAGATTTTGTAGATTTAGGGGCTGCATTACGCATTCCTTCCAAAATACGCATTAGTAATACATTAGGAGGTAAATCATCCACTTTAACATCAACTAAAATGCGACATTCAGGGCAGCGCAACTCATGATGAGTATTAACTATCTCTTCTAAACATTTCTTGCAGAAAGTATGCTGACAAGGAAGTACTTTGCTCGATGTATCTAATCGTTCGAGACATACCGAACATTCTAACAAATCATTCAGCATACATTCGTCCATTCTGATTTATATTATGAAATGTTCAATTCTTTTTTTTTTTTAATTTGTTTGTCTATGTTTAAGATCCAATTTTTTTAATCTTCCCACGCGTCTTGTCTTCTGTGAATTCACAAGCTACCATACATTTGATGTACTTATCTTCTATATAACATGTAATAACGAAATTTGATTTTTAATTATAATAGTCCACCAAAAATCCCACTTCAAGAAAAAATATATGAACATGTTAATGAATTTTTTTCCGAACTTTCGAACTACTTGCCCATTTATTCTAAACGAATATTCTTAGGCGCGTCAGTATAAGCGCTGTCATCTAAGTATATTTCGTCACACACACCAAACCATATCGATCAATCGACTCGTCGATTATAGTCGATTCTAAAATAAGCCAACAAATGTTGCATGATATATCTATACATAGTATAAATTTTATAACCAAATATTGTTATAAACCAATTTTATTGCAAATACATAATACTTATTTTTATTTCAAAATTTTGTCATATAAGCAATATAATATTATTATGAAAAATGAATATAGAATAACTCTTTAATTTTTTATGTAAATATAAATATGAAACTTAGGAATTTTTAAGTTATATATCATAAATTCTATTATATATTCTATATTATAAAATTATCAATATTGTATAAATGAATAGCTTTTTTGTACATAAAGTACATTGTAAATAAAAAATAACTTTCACAGTTATTTATCATATTTTTACATTTTTTTTCAATTTTTCTAATATTAAGATAAAAAGCAACCAATCAAAAAACCTTTTTTAAATAACATTTAAAAAAAAAATGTCTACTTATAAAATTATATAATATTTGTCAAAACATTTTTTCTCATTGTAATTTTTTCATATTTTATTCAATAAATAATATTTAAAAAAATAATTTTTTATTGTTTTGAAATTTCTTTTGTTAAAAATTATATTTTAATTTATATTTATTATTATTCACAGTGATATTAAAATTTATAATACATTGTTTTACAAATAACTTATAATATTATATAATTATTTATATTATATAATTTATATTTGTAATTTATATTGAACATATTGTAAATTATAAATTATAATTATTAATGAAATTGGATATTAAATAAGATATCTCTTTTATATATTTTGTATTTTTATATGTTATATGTCTTTATTTTCAATTTTCATGAAAATCATAGTGAATTTTTTAATATTTCATGTAGACTTAAAATTTCATTCGATATATTTATTTAATATATTAAATCAAATAAAAATTATAATATAGATTCGTAATAAAATATAATAAATTAGCAACGATATTTCTTATAATTACTGAATATTTTTTTTATAAATTCTATGTGAAATCCCCAGACTAAATTATTGTAAACTTGATGGATGATAAATGCGCATGCGAATTGAGATATATGTAAGCATGACGTCATTTTGCAAAGTGTCTGTGAAATAAGAGTGGGGAAATTCGATGCACATGTGTGCGCAAGTAAGTGTGCTTTTTAGTGGCTGTAGCAGTGTGGCACTCAGTGATTCAAGTGTGTGGCAGTCCGTTGAGAAGTCGACGCCGTTGTATGCGTATGACTGCGGGTTGAGAGATAACACGAGTGAATTTGCTAAAGCAAGGGTGGTTCTGTGTGGCCGCACTGAATTACTGCAGCCCATGTGCTCTGCTTGTTAAAATGCTCATCAAAGAATTGTAAGTTCTTACGAAATTTTTTATTATTAGTTTAATACAGCGTGATAAACGAAAACTGATTGAACATTTAAAAGTAATTCTTGGGATATGGTTACTAATCTTTAACGGCGGGTGGGATTGGAGGGGTAAAGAGGGATGTACTTTCATCCCTTGTCATCCATACGGATAATATTTAACATGCGATGAATAATTTTATTTTAACTGATAAGTATCGTTTTCAAAAGAAATTTGTTCATCATACGTTATCTATCGTTCAATTTTCGATACCTGGAGTGTGATACTTAAGTTCATATTAAAGTGTATTCAAGGTCGTTGCTCATAAATATATGATTACTTTTTATTTAGTAATTGAAATATAATTTATTAATTTTTGTTACAGTCGTGTCACTTTGCCTCTTAATGTGAAAGAGGTATGTATTTAATGAATAATAAGATCTCATTATAATGACCCATTTTGAAATATATTATTGCAATAGAATAGAAATAAAAACTAACTTGAATTAACTTCTACATCAATACTATGCAATTATCAAAAATTGCAAATCATTTAATTATAGTTTATTATAGAAGCATGTGATTATCTTGAATGTTTTGAATTTTTAATTTAATATATCTGACAAATCTTGTCTTATCATGCTCATTTCATTGTTAGATTTATTATTCAGTTTTAGAATATAATAAATGTTTTTAGAATGCATAAATATTTTCTATCTTCTTCATATCTTGCTTAATTTAATCTTTAGTTATTTGCATATTTTTACATTTATTGCTAATTTTTTTTCTTTTATTTGTATTTCCTTTATTAATATTTGATTTTTTTTTATGAAAAACAAATTATTTAAAGTTATAGAAATAATAATATTTTATATAATAAATGAATTATTATTAATATTAAAATTTCTTTATAAAAGAAGAAATAATGTTTATATTTATATGATTAGATATTTTTTATTTTATAGATTTTATTTATTAAAATAAATTTCATATTGCTTTATCTTATATTTTCTATACATAATTTATATATTATAAAATATAATTTATTTCGTGGCAGTATCAAGTGGCTCAGCTATATTCTGTAGCAGAAGCTAGCAAAAATAATACTGGAGGAGGAGAAGGAATACAAGTGTTAAAAAATGAACCATTCACAGATTATCCTTTGCTTGGTGGAAAATATTCTTCAGGTCAATATACATACAAGATTTATCATTTAGCTAGTAAAGTGCCTGCTTTTATTCGTATTATGCTGCCAAAGAATTCCTTGGAAATTCATGAAGAAGCTTGGAATGCTTATCCTTATTGTAAAACAGTTATTACAGTAAGTATGATTTGTTAATAAAAATATTTTTTATGAAATTTCTATTTTAATATGTTTTTGTTTTTTTGTGCAGAATCCTGGATATATGAAAGAAAATTTTGTAATTATGATTGAATCATTTCACATTGATGATGTTGGAAATCAACATAATGTATGTATAAAAATTTATAAAAATATTTAATTTTATTTTATATATAAATATTAATATTATTTTTTAACTAATAGGTTCATGAATTACCTCCTGATAAATTAAAAATAAGAGAAGTAATACACATAGATATTGCAAATGATCCAATTGCAAATGCTGATTATAAGGAGGATGAAGATCCAACTAAATTTAAATCTGTGAAAACAGGTCGAGGTCCTCTTATTGGTAAAGATTGGAAAAATAATGTTCAACCTGTAATGACATGCTATAAACTAGTTACTTGTGAATTTAAATGGTTTGGTCTACAAAATCGTGTTGAAAGTTTTATACAAAAAGCAGAAAGGCGTCTTTTTACTAACTTTCATAGGCAAGTGTTTTGTTGGATAGATCGTTGGTATGGTTTAACTATGGAAGATATTAGAGCAATTGAAGAGAGTACGAAAGAAGAATTAGATAGGGTAAGTAATTTTATAAATTTATAATATATTAAAAGTTACATTATATTAATTTAAAGTATAAGTATAAATAAAAAGTTACATATTAATTATATTTCAATTTTCAATTATTTAATTAATTTGATTAAAGATATTTGAATTTTTCAGCAAAGAGATCAAGGAGAAGTGAGGGGTATGCGAGCTGATGATTGAAGCTTTGATAGCTTCTATTATGGATGGTTAAATCAATTTCCTTATATGTCTCAGATACATACGCATACCTATAGAAATACACTCACATATGTTTTGTCATAGGCGATCCTGCAGGATCGGGACAATTTCCAGAATTTAAGTGTTTAGATTCAGTGTCTATTATAATTACTTATGATTTTAATTTATTTACATTTACAAGCGTTTTAGATAAATGTATCTATTGTCAAAGATTATAATATAGCAAATAATAAGAGAGAACTGATACAGATCAGTTCAACTTATACAATGTATAAAATATTCAAAAAAAGAGTACAGAGTTCGATAAAAATCAATTTAGGTGGAAAAATATGTAATGTTATTTAACACCATAGTAGTTCAATATTAAAATTTATAAATAAGTCGTTCGAAATGCTTGCTATATAATATAAATGATGAAATTAGACATAAAAATTGCGAAATATTCACAATTTATTATTTTAAATTTATTATATTATGATTTGAAACCAAAAATATCACTATATTTATATAGTAACAATGGTTATTTTAATAAGTTTGTGTAGTATGGCCTGAAAATTTTTAAATCCAATTATACTCTGTATAATAACCAGAAGAATTAAACAAAACTATTTTAACAGTTTCAAAACAGAAAATTGATTTTGTCATAATTTACTCTCTTACTAATATTCAATATTACAAATAAAGTGATAAATAATGATTAAACTATAGAAATCCTTTTTTGTGTTTCTTAATGAAAAAATTAAAGAAAATATGTGCATCAAAATTAGGACCAATTTGCTAAACTTCAATTAAATCTTTGATTACTATATTGGCACTATATTGTTTGTGAAAAATATGAAAATAATTTTATAAGATGATTGAATTATACATATATATATATATATATATACATATGAAAAAAAAAAAACTATTTTAATGTAAAAGTTACAACGGCAAATGCACTATTGTATATAAGAAAAGAAGCATCCAATGGAATTCAAATTGAAATATTATATTCACTTATATATTTCTTTACATTCCAATAGATCTCTATCCAACAAATTTAAATGTCATATTTAATATCTTTGCTTATATAAAACAAAGAAAGAATTCGATAAAAATATAGTTGAAGAAAATCGTAATTGTCGTTTGCACAAATTATATGTATACTGTTATCTGTTGTACTGGGATCTATAGTGTAGAATTTAAGATAGTTATAGAAATATAATTAGAAATATAATAGAAACTGTAATTTTTTGGGATCTTAATACAGGGAGTATCAGAATTTATGCTACTCAGTTGTGAATTTTAGCATTTAAGTATGATATGCGATCTTATCAAATTACTTATATAATTAATAGAGATTTTAAAATAAAATCTCATTATAGATAGTGTTTATCATTCCTATTCATTATTTTAACAAATAATCTATAGTTTGTCATCATTCCATAACGAGCAAGTATAGGAAAATTATAAATAAAAATTTCTATAATATTGCTATAGAATTAATAATGAGATATTGGCATATGTTTTTGCATATTTAAATATGTAAGTTTTGCATATTTACATATATATTTACATTTATTTTATGACATTAAATCATAAAAAAAAAACTACATAATTATAATGATATATAAAATTTATTAGTCTTTCTTCGTAAAGGATAAAAATATATATATATAAAATTAATAAAATATATAAAAAATATTTTGTTTGCATATGAAGAACTTTAGTAGAAAAATATATATCGCATCTAAATATTTCAATTAAAATTGTATTCTTTGATAACATTTGCAGCTATAACTAATCTTTGTATCTCTGATGTACCTTCATAAATTTCAGTAATGCGTGCATCTCTATAATAACGTTCTGCTGGCATATCACTAACGTAACCCATACCACCTAAAATTTGCATGCATTGATGTGCACAGAAAGTAGATGTTTCAGATGATGATAATTTTGCCATAGCAGCTTCCTAACAAAAAAAATTATTAGATTATGTTTGAGTTCAATTATTTTTTTCGTCGCACCTTTGTATATGATTTATTATTATCTTTAAGTGCAGCTGCTCGCCATGTTAATAATCTTGAACTTTCTAATCTCAATGACATGTCAGCAATTTTTTGTTGAATTGTTTGTAATTTAATAATAGAACTACCAAATGCTTGTCGTTTTGCCGCGTATTCGATTGCACAGTCGAGAGATGCTTGAGCTATGCCTAAAGCTTGAGCAGCAATACCTATTCTACCAGCATCTAGAAATTATATATTGTAGTTATTACTTTTTTTAGATATTATAATTGTATAAATACCATGGATTCATTTCATACCTAAAGTCGTCATTGCAATTTTAAAACCCATTCCTGATTCTCCTAATAAATTTTCTTTTGGTAATTTACAATCTTCAAATATTAATGAACAGGTACTGCTACCACAAATACCTAACTTATCCTCTTTTTTACCAACAAAAAGACCTTCTGTAGTTTTATCAACTATAAATGCACTTATACCTTTATGCTTTTTAGATTTGTCTGTTGTAGCAAATAGAATAATTGCATCTGACTCATAAGCATTTGTTATCCATGATTTAGTACCATTAATTAAATAATTAGATCCATTTAATTTAGCAATAGTAGAAGCAGCACCTGCATCACTACCATTGCCTGGTTCACTAAGGGCAAAACATCCAATCTTAGTACCAGTTGTAAAGGGGGTAATATATTTTTCTATCTGATCTTTATTGCCAAATTTTTGTATAGGTCCTAAATAAAGAGAATTATGTACACTCATTATGACACCTGTACTGGCACAACCTCTAGATATTTCTTCTAATGCAATAACATAAGCTAAATAATCTAATCCAGTTCCACCTAAATTTTCAGGAATTGCTATACTCATTAAACCCAATTCTCCCATTTTTTTAACTTGTTTTTCTGGATAAAGATGTTTTTTGTCAATTTCTGTTGCTAAAGGCTTTAATTCTTCTTCTGCAAAGTCTCTATAATAATATTTATTATATGGTATACATTGCATTATATTATGATTTATATTGAAAAACAAATAAAAAAATAAAATATTATAAACATATAATGATAAGTACTTGCATGTTTTGTGTAACATTTGATGAGTCTCTGGTAACATGGAAAGAGTAACAATATTTCGAATAATATTATTATAAATTGTAGTTTTATTTTGTGTAACTGGTTTAAAAAATAAAAATTGTGAAATTTTTATATAATACATATTCATATAATAATATACTTTAAATAAATACTTACCAAATAACCTTATTTTGTACATTGTTATTGATAAATTTATTTATATAAGCAACAAATTATTAAAATTGATATTTCAATACTTTGAATAATATAGCACAAGATTACAACAATATTATCATGTATTAATAGCTTTAGATATATATATAATGTATATGTCACGTATTTATATATTGATGACTATATATATAAATTACACATATAAAATGTATATTTTTTTTTTCAAATAGAATTCATAAAAATTAAAATAATATATATATATATTATTATATATATATATATATATTATCTCTCTCTCTCTATATATATATATATTATTTTTTTTTTCAAATAGAATTCATAACTAAAATAATAATACTATTAATTTTTTATTAAAGTTTTTTTTTATATATGTGTGAATAAATATAATCATATTTTAATTATATTATTTAAAATATTTTAATTTTATAATACTATAAAGCAATTTGATTAATAAAGTATATTATTAAAAAAAAAGATAATATAGATATTATAGAAAAAAAAAGATATAGATTTTTAAATTAGTTTTCTCTTTTCATTTTAAATACAATTTTTAAGATTTTTTTATAACAAATAACTAATATACTTATTTATTATATTTTTAATATAAAAATTTTCATTATATTTTCTTTTCATTTTAAATACAATTTGTAAGAATTTTTTTTTTAACAAATTACTAATATATTTATTTATTATATTTTTAATATTTAATTTCTTTTTTAAGTAATAATTTCTTTAATAATTTTTTTAATTAATAATTAATAATTTCTCATTTTTTTTATCTATGAAAAATGTATTTTTTACATATAATGTATTTTTTACATATTTGTTACATTACATGAAACAGTAAAAACTTAGCCATTTATTTTCCCGCGGTATTTTCAATAATAATAATAAACAATCAATATGTTCGCATGGATAATACGAAAATGTGCGCATGTACAGATGTATGCGCATGTACTTCTGTTCGATATAACTAGTTCATTTCTCCAATTTCAGACAGTGAACTTCGAAAAATATAACATATAACGTAAAGAAATTTATATTGAATTAAAAGTAAAGATGTCGAATAGTAAATGTATTAAACAATTGCGCAAAAATTATGTAAAAGATCAACAAGAAATGTCACATTCGGAAAAACTACGATTGATAGATGATGAATTGAATGCATTTTACAAGTAAAATTTAAAAAAATTTTTTATCTTGTTATATTTTTTTAAATGTATATAATTTTAATTTTCTTTAATATTGTGCTAACTTTTTTTTAAAGAAAATTATTTGATATGTACAATGTTATATTCTTTATTATTGGTACGTATTCATTATTTAAAATTTTTTTATTACTTTTTTTTTATTTTTTTTAATATTATAAAATCATTTTTTATGTATTATTCTATGTATTATATATGAAAATTAATATATTTTTAATGTGATATTATTATATTAATCATTTTAATTAATAATGATTGTATTTTATATAATTAATTAATTAATAGATATTGTCAACAAGCTGGCTTCACAGAAGAAGAAATGGATATTATTTGTCAACCATTAGTAGCTGCAATGCGGCGCTCTTGGTTACAACTTGTTATCAGAGGAACACTTGTATTAATTGTTCTTGGTACTTTAGCATGTCTAGCAGCTCAACTTGATTTTGTTGGAACTCATTTTACTGCAATTAGTCGTCTTTTACTTATCAAAGTTCTACCAATCTGGAATTGGCAACCCTTGTATTATGAAAATTGTATGATTAATAATCCTTTTTATAATGATTATATGATAACTGAAGAAGATTGTGTGGTATGATTATTAATATCAAAAATATTTTTAAAAATAAATTACTAAAGTAATCAGAAATTATATTTACAGACTTGCGAAGCTTTGGAAACTATTGATCGTTTATCAGATGTAAGATATCGGAATCTTGTTGATAATTATCTGAGTAGAGATGCACCTGCAATTATTACAGATGCAATGGATTCTTGGGCAGTTATGAATACAGATTATTTTTGGTTTGATAACATTACTCATGTAAGTATAATTATTATTACACGACAATTGTATTTATTACGTGTCCTATTTCCTTTGATAAAATAAATGCACAATTCAAAAAAAATTTTCATTATATTTAACAAATTTATTTATTTATTTGAAATTTATTTATACATTTTGTTTATGTTAATAGCTTTATTTAGAAAATGAACGCTTAATGGAAACAGTACCATGTGCCTTGACTTCAAATTTGAGAACTGGTTCGTCTGACTTGGCAGCATTTTTGCGTCGGGTACATTCACCTGAAGTAGCTAAATGGTTCGTCCATTGGCAAAATTGCGATATTAATGCGGTGAAAGTGTTGAGAAAGTATTACCAACGTCCATATTTCCTTTCAAGTACTGTCTCACCAGCGCATTTTAATTGGGTTCTTATGTCTTCGGATTATAATAGTCCGAGTTATAAAAAAGTCGAACTAGATTCGGGTCTTATAGCTCTAGCTCAATTAAGAGGAGCTACGCAACTTCGTTTGACTCCTATAAATCCTTGTAATAGTTCTTGTCCTGAACTAGTAGCAGATTTGCATCAAGGCGAGATGCGTAAGTTGAAAAATTAATTGTATAGATAAATATTTAATAAATAATTATTAAATAAATTATTTATTAAATAATTTAAATACATATTAGTAGAATGGATTAAGAATTGGTAATTGATTTTATATTCATCATATTGATTTTAGTTGTTTTTACTAATTTAATGTGGACTTTGGAATATGCGCCGATGAGAGGATTAGACAACATTGCAATTTTGACTGAAACTGTCTGGGAGGAGGATACATAAATCATAACATTCTCTTTATATTGTGTTAGTCTATGATACTCTTAATCTAAGTATATATTGCTTAATTAAATTATATATATGTATACTCATTCTGCTGTCATAGTTCACATTAAATAAAATACTTCTTTCATCTAATAAATGTGAACTTATTTTGTAATATTATTTTTTCTTATTGTTTTTATATATTTTATATATTTTTTTTCGGATTATAATATATAATTTATTTTATATTTGATTATTTTTTCTTTATTTTATATTTTAATTAAATATGTTTCAATTTAAGATATATGCAAATGCCTTTATCACTTTAATGGAACTTTACGAAAAGGATGAGATAAAAAAACAAAAAGTAACAACAAACAAGATTCGTTTTTTATTAATTAATCGTTTATAATAACATTGTGTTTTTTGTTGATTTTTTTTTCTTTTGTAGCAGTTTTTTCTGATATTTCAATTGGGCTAACAAGAAATAGATTGTTATGCTCCGATTCATAGAAAAAACAAAGCACAAGATTACTGAATGACAAACGTAGCTGACGATTTGACATGCTTAATCAATGCGATAATTTGTTATATTAAAAGTTTTATGAGTATATATAATCGATTTCTTTTTTTATGCGCTACGTTCTGTTTATACAATTTTAGAGTATCGATGTAAGAGAAGGAATGACAATAATTGGCGCCTAGCTAATAACACCATCGAAATATGTCTTCTATTCCACACTATCCAATGTTTTTAACTCTTTTCTTTTCAAACTATTTTCTCTCCCCATTGATTTTTTTTATTCATTATGTCATCTCATATATGCATCGATATATATACACATCCACTCGTACATATGCGCACTCTTTCTCTTTTCTTTCTTTATTCTATCTTTCCATAAAGTGTTTTCATGGAATAAAGTTCTACAATTCCAAAGGGAGTTTTAATCTCTCATAGAAGATTAATACTCGTCACTAATAGCTGTTGAAATATTGTATATTATTTAACTAACCGTTATCTAAATCGATATAACGCTTGTACATCTATTTTTTTCTCAGGATGTGGAAAACACTTTTCTGAAAGAGAGATTTCAGTATGAGACCTAACATTGATTATTTTGCTTATTAATTTTTTTCATCGAATTAAAAGAATCTTCCACGTTCTTCAGACGGTCTTTTCAGCGAAAAAAGATCAACGTTTGAACGAATATCATTTTTCGTTCATTTATTTCGGACATACACATACGCATCATCTTCGGCACGGCTTATATTTGCAATTCATATTGTATTAGCTGTATCAAAAGACTGTTTCATACGAATTCATTCAACGACTAAATTTATAATAATGACAATATACAAGTGAGATACTACACAAAAATGAGCGTAGATAACAAACGAAACGACTTCGAGGTATCTAATCCAATTTTCTCTCATTATTTTCTCTCATATTTTTTCACACTTTTTTATAATTTTTTTTATTCTTGATTTAATTTCTTAGAATGTTATTTAATTTGCGCTTGTTTTTTTCATCCGTTCCATATCTTTACTTCTGATAAATGTTTAAATAAAGATTTGTCTAAGTATTATCTGTTAGTTCTTAATCGTGTTCGACCGTTGCATTGCGTTAATTTATTGTTCCTGTTGTTGTTAAAATTATTATCCTCTAAGATTTAGTCCGATCACAAATAGAGAAGAGACAGAATTTAGCTCTCGATACGTGGAATACTTGAAATGGATTTTTTTCTCGCGTTACATTTTTTGCATTTTTTATTATAAGACTACTTGCTATTTTTTTTATTCTTTTTTTTTTTTATTCCTTTTTTTTTTTTTTTTGGCTTATGATATCTAACACTTAACAATAATAGATGAAGATTTTTCGTAACTGTTCCAATATTTTCTTTCGTACATATTCAATGCTGCTACGTTTTACAATGATTCTGGATTTTTTCTCACATACATTTTCATTTGAATCATTTTAAACTCGTTTCGCTACACGATTTGTCAATATGAAACTAAATAATGAAAAACGAGGAAAAAAAAAGCAAAAATGTTAAAGAGATGGCAGATGAACGATATAGATTTGCTAAGAAATATTTAATTAACACATTCACTACCATTTCAATGAATTTTTATCTAAGAATTTTTTTTCCAAGAACATGCTGTTTTTTTTTTTTTTTCTTCTTCTTTTTCTATAGATTTGATCGGTTCATCAATTTTCCGTGAATGTTGTAAGTTTTGATTACTAGTTTTGTTCGTGTCTTTCGATGGATCGACCGAATATTCAAATATTTTCATCAATCAATTCTGACATTGGTAGCGAACGTGTTAAGCATTTAAAGATCTTAAATGTCACGTCAGTCTTTTTCTTTTTTTTTTTTTTTTTTTTCTTCTTTTCTTTTCTTCGTTTAATCGCCTGAATCAACATTTCACATTAGATATGTTCACAGCAAAGATTTATAGGAATTCTGACAACAATCGCGAGTTTACTCCGCTCAAAAGGTACTATAAGGACAAAGATCAAAGAAAAGTAATATATTTTTGGCTCAATCCATTGGAAAATTTTTCTAGATCAGCAGATTACAATAATCCATCGATATAGAGAATCATTGAATGCTGAGGAGTATTAACAAACTCCTCCGTAATAACGGTTTAATTATACAATATATTAAATATATTATTATAATATTACGTACTGACTTATTTTCAAATCATCATATTGTAGAATTTTTGAAAGATGCTTATAATAAATGTAAGATAAATGATGTTACATTTATTTCCAATGGATCAAACGATGTCGTTGATAAACACATTTCAAAGAACAGCATCGAAAGCGTAATCTATTCATTTCAATAAATTTTTGATTCAGACAAAATTTAAATTTTTGACGCTCGCGCGAATACTGGTCGAACGAGATTGACTATGATTGAGTTTGCAATTTCATGCGTTAAATCGAACACGACAATCGAGCAAGCTTTACATATTTCGCGACTTTTATTTCTCAATGACAATACGACAATCGAAACATGCTTAAATATCTACAGTTTTCAAATGTTTAATTGTAGATATTAATAAAAACATTTTTATCCATTTAGCTTTTCCACTGTCGCGAAGAAAGTGAAAAGAAATATTAAATAGAGAACTAAGAAAAATGAATCTACGTTTGAATAGCCAAATTGGTCTCTTGAAAAAATATAGTTTGGTCCATGGTCATAGTATACACAGTTTCTGTAACTCTTGCTCGTTAAACGTTATGCGATTCATCGTGATCGACATTGCAAAAACAAGATTCAAAAATCATATTGTATCAATTTGATGGTGCTACTACGTGTGGCCCAATCCCGCATTCCAGCAAATCTGATCTAATATAATTATTGCGACAAAAGTGAAAGATAATGAAAGTAGGTAATAAAAAAAAAAAAAAAAAAAAAAATAAGAAAGATAAGAACGAGATTCGAAAAAATACAATTTTTCCTTTTTTTGCATTAAATTAAAATAAATTGGAAGAAAAATTGAAATCAAATAATATAACAATCTTTCAATAATATGTACAAATAGGTTATAAAGGATTAAATCTAAAAGAAAATTTAATCGAGCTACAACAATTTTTCAAAACGAATCTTTGGGCCGCGCGTTTAACATTGTTAATTAATTTATAGATCGCATATATTATTCACCGTTTATTACAATATATTTGTCGACACTCGATTAACATAAACGGACGAGAGGCAACTATCGGTTTTTAAACAGATATATCCACGATATTTTATAACAATTATGATCAATTTCGTATTTATGATTTCCAAAGTATGATGGAAAATGACATTTGAAATTTGTCACGCTTTATTTTGCTAAGGATTCTTCTTTATATTGTGTCTTATTGTGTACTTATTATTATTATTATATATGTATATATATATATATATATTATATATATATATA